TAGAGCTGTTCAACTATACATCGACTTTCAAGAGGGGATCTGACTACCCGCTCACCACCCACTGGCTGACAAACAAAGAGACACTGCTCAGTAAAGAATATTTAGTCCCCACAGACAGAAGGAACGTGATGAGGACAGATGGTGGCCTAGCTCCAATTATATATGTCCACAGGGACTGCAACACACCATCCAACAGGGAGCAGTACGTCACGATTTTGCAGAAATACGTCGATGTAGATTCCTACGGCCCTTGTCTCCACAACAAGGACTTCCCAGAAGAGTGAGTCCAACTGAACCATGTGCAGTCAAACATACACACACACAGACATACAGACAGACAGACACGAATACAGACACACACACATACATACAGACACACACACACACAGACATACAGACAGACATAGACGAATACAGACACACACACAGACACACAGACAGCCATAGACGAATACAGACACATACACACACATACAGACATACACATACATACAGGCGGACATACACGAATACAGACACACACACAGACATAGACGAATACAGACACACACATACAGACACACAGACACACAGGCAGACATACACGAATACATAGACACACACATATAGACACACGCAGAGATATAGACGAATACAGACACATACACACATATACAGACACACACAGAGATACAGTCAGACATACACGAATACAGACACACACATACAGACACACACAGACATACAGTCAGACATACACGAATACAGACACACACATACAGACACACACATAGACATACAGACAGACATACACGAATACATAGACACACACATACAGACACACACACAGACATACAGACAGACATACACGAATACATAGACACACACATACAGACACACACAGACATACAGACAGACATATACGAATACAGACACACACGAATACAGACACACACAGACATACACGCAGACATACACGAATACAGACACACACACATACATACATACACACACAGACATACAGACATACATACACGAATAGACACACATATACAGACACACAGACAGACATACACATACAGACACACACATAGACATACAGACAGACATACACACATACATAGAGACATACATTCACGAATACAGACACACACACACATACACACACATACAGACACACAGACATATACACACGAATACAGACACACACAGACATACAGACAGACATACACGAATACAGACACACACATACAGACACACACACATACATACAGACATACATACACGAATACAGAGACAAACACGTACAGACACACAGACATACAGACATACAGACACGAATACAGACACACACACATGCAGACACACACAGACATACAGACAGACATACACGAATATAGACACACACATACAGACACACACATAGACATACAGACAGACATACACGAATACAGATACACACATACAGACACACACACAGACATACAGACATACATACACGAATACAGACACACACACATACAGACACACACACAGACATACAGACAGACATACACGAATACAGACACACACATACAGACACACACACAGACATACATACAGACATATACGAATACAGACACACACACATACAGACACACACATAGACATACAGACAGACATACACGAATACAGACACACACACATACACACAGATATACAGACAGACATACACGAATACAGACACATACACATACAGACACACACACGGACATACAGACAGACATACACGAATACAGACATACACACACAGACATACAGACAGACATACACGAATACAGACACACACACAGACACACATACAGACATACATACACGAATACAGACACACACACAGACATACAGACACGAATACAGACACACACATGCACACACGCACATACACACTGATACAGTCACACTTACAGACACACACATACACACTGATGCAGTCACACATACAGACACACACATACACACTGATACAGTCACACATTAAGACACACTAACAGGACTTACACATACACACACTTAAGCACACACACATACACACACAAACGCACGCGCACACATAAACACACACACACACACACACACACACACACACACACACACACACAAGCACACACACACACACACAAACGCGCACACATGTATCTCGAGCCTGCTTTCACTGTCACACATGTTATGATATTTTGGAGGATAATGGAACCCATCGTTTAGGCCATGTCATACATGTAACTGGGCTCGTTATCATTTCAACACAATGTTAATTTATTATCATAATATATAGTATGTCAGTACAGCTCATAATCTTTTACCACATTTCCGACCTACATGCACTCAATGTTATCAAAATGTAGACTGGGCAAATCTATCTATTTTGTTAAGATACATGCATTGTGGAATGAAGAGCAAAGCACTTTGCAACTATTAAAGTGTAACCATTCTCTTTCTGTTGCATATAGATTCTCGACGGTATAGCAGGCTTCTTGAAGCCAGACTTTTTGAGACTTGTCGCCCGCTACAAGTTTGCTATAGCTTTTGAGAACGCCATCTGTGACGACTACATCACAGAGAAGTTGTGCTCGGCTCGCCGACAATCAGGGTGAGATGACTTCTGTGTGTGGAAACATTTCAATGAGAGTATATGTTCTTATGCTTGGACCACGAGATGGGTGACATGTCTTGTTTGTGTGGTGGCATTTTCGTGAGGGTATATAAGTAATTATATATTTTCTTAGGCTGTACCCAATACACACAAAGGCGTATGTCGTAGATTTAAAGGCATAATCATAATTACATGTTCTAAACAACTTCGATACAATAAACGACTACGATAGGGCAGAGGGTAAGCTTTGGTCTTAAATATAGCTATCGTCTCGTGTAACAGATGAAGGAAAACGTTTTGCAGTAAGCTATTCAACTTAGTGTTAGACAAGACTTACGGTGTAGCTGCTCATCCATGTATAGGTGGAGGGTTCACTCAAAGAGATTGTCGCTGAACCATTGTTATCATCAGGATTATTTTTCAACCACAATTTAAGAATCACGGGTTCTACGTTTGACGCATATACACCTAAATGTTTATGTAACATTCGAGGACACATCCAGACACAATAATACAGTAACTTAATATATGATTTGAAACTGTGAACCCCCATTGTGATCTGTTTCTATTATCTGAAGAGCTGAATGAGAAAAACTAGCGGAGAAAGATAAACTAACGAATAAAGAATGAATGTTAAAGTGCGTCTGTGCCGATAAATCATTTCCGTTTTATGGTCATGTTATAAATGTGTACTGTGGCATTAACAGCGTGAAAGGAATTTAAAAATAAATTTGTCATGAATTGAACAAACTTGCAGTCAACTAGAATCTTAGCTCTCAGCCTCGGAAAGAATAGCGATTATTATGCATCTTTTTTCTGATTGTAGTTTGTTCTAATCAAATAAATGCAATTTCAAATCAGCTCTACTTAAAACGTACTTTCAGGACTTTTTACCATCCACCAAATCAGCGATTCTGGTCGAAGACTTTGACACTATTCAAGACTTGGCTGCGTTCATCAAGCAGCTTGATCGGAACGACGAAAAGTATGAGTCATACCTCCAATTCAAACACACGGGTATTTCAAATCCAAGGCTGAAGTCAGAACTCGCCCGGATATCACCAGGGGAGTATGCAGGTGGACGTTTTGGGAAGGCTGCTTCAGGATATGAGTGTTTCCTCTGTGACAAACTTCACAAGGCGCTTGATGCAACTAAAGCCGGGAAGCCTGTCGCGAAAGCACAGGCAAATCTGAACCATTTTGGATGTCCTTTACCTGCACAGAAATTTGACGAAAACGGCCTAATCGTCCCCGACCATCGCCGAAAGCATGAGTTGGCATTCTACCATATGAACGCACAGGTGTTCCGCCAGTTCTATGACAGGGCTGAGAACATCACGTCTCACGACCTGTACACAGCCACAAAACAACGATTGAAAAAGGTGCAGGCGAAACAGGAAGACTTGTAGAGCAGGTTTTACTAGGATAAAAAGTAACTTATGGAGTTTACTTGAATCTGTATTTTAAAACACAAAACACTGTCAGTTCAACGCAATCTGTCATGCCAGCATTGGATGCTGTAACATTTATGCAAAATATTTTCACAAAAATGACCTCGCATTAACAATTCCTGTATAAGAAGTTGATTTGTACCAGTATATGATGACATGTATAGCTAACACATGCATATATGTGTTCCCCATGAAGATCCGGGTTAGAATGGGTCTTCGGCAATCAATGCTTGTCGTATTGTGTCATGTCATCGTGTCCTCATTACCTAGATCGATGCTCCTGATGTCAGTCACAACCTTGTTTGGTCCAGACGCGATAATGTACAGATCGCCGTCATATAACTGGAACAGTTCTGGGTGTGGCGTTCAACAACAAACACAACAAAACGCTTGTAGAGGATAATACATGAGTGTGTTTCCGTATCATAAATATCAAAATTTATAGAATAAAAGTTGAATTGTTCGACCCTGTAACGAGCATACAACACATTCCTCATATTTGATCTTTACGATTCGGAATCACACGAGGGTAATCTTTTTACCCTGACATGTCATTTTTACAATAATCTCGATCAATGATGTTCAATTTTTCAACCTGATCTCACTCAGCTTCAGAAACCGTGTATGAATATAGTGTTTGAGTGAAGTGTCCCATTTATCATATGGTGATTTACAGCCATGTTTGTCGATATGATTATCCACATATCGGGAAGAAACTTTCGTCTATAGGTTACAGATGAAGCAGATATTGAATCGATGTATGGAGATTAAAGGTTGTACCTGCTCGCTGACCATTCGCACGTTAATGGGATCATGATACCAAATATGACATGACACAGGACACAGCTGGCAACCACATGCACAAAACTGTTATAGTTCACAGCGTCACTATCTCTCCAGATATACACTGGTGACACAGTGCAGGCCTCGTAATCTCAGGTCAGGCTAATTGCTTGATAAATATCATCGTATCCCAATGACGTGGGTCGATGCTCATTATGTCAATAACTGGATTGTCTGGTCCAGACTGGATTGTTTACAGGCCGCCGTCATATAGTCGGAATATTGCTGAATGCGGCGAATGCAGGATTAATGAAGACAAATTTTTGAATGCTTTTACAATCCTTATTTGGTTGATATAAGAATTCATGTTGCCAACTAAAACAAACAATTAATTTAAGCTAGCTTCTCAGCTGTTTCGTTTCATGTTTCATCCAGTCTCACACATATATAAATGAGCGTACAGTTGTTTTTATGTAGGGTCATAGGAGATATTGAAATAGGATATCAGTATTCAACACATACAGCATAAATCCATAGTTATATTTATCAACAAGTTTTGAAACACAGCTGTCCATCGAAGGTTGATCAATGAGATGTCAATAGTAACGTCCCCATTGGGGTACATTCTTCACTCACAGACTCAAGTGTAAATTTGTGATTGTAAATGCAGCCTATCGTGAGATAAATACTCATTCAGCCAGCATATACCTACTCATAGAGATGACACTATCTCAATAGATATATGGAAAAGAACACCGCCCTGTAGAAGTAAATAGGGATATTCCTTCATCGCACAGATCCAAACGCGATCAGGGCCATGTATCATTACATCAATAAATCATGAAGGAATAGTAAAACACGTAAATATATACGTTAAATCTCGTGTATTGAAATCAGTAAATGCTACCATGCTATAATCAGAGGCTTAACATCAGTAATCATACGTACTGAGGGAAACAAGTAAGAGATTACCTGTAGCGTATCGCACGTGCCACATATGCAGGTTTTGTGTTCAAGTAAAACGAAACAAGAGATTATTCAGCATGCAGTGAACATATCTGATACTAACATTACACTCCGTGACTTCGATTTGTGATCTGATGCTTCTGACCACAACAGTATACATGACTTTTTTTATTTATTTTTTGTAACACACGGAGGCCACAGGAATCCTGCTGGTGTAAGACTGGTGTAACACCTACATGTTTCTCGGGCTCAAGATGTTTACATGACGGTGTGTTGATTTGCCCGTTCGGATTACTTTGAAATACTGGTAACATTGTTATTTACGTTTCAAGAAAGTTATTGTATCTGTGGTATATTTCTTATTTGTAACATCTATGACATCTCGATCGCCACACCTGCCATATAGCTTGTCCAACTTTTTACTTCTTGTACTGCTATAAACGACATTACATGTATACATGTTCGCACATAATTGTACAAATACGAATGTGTAAAACATCTTAGGATATTACATAAATACTGTTTACAATGTGTACTGTGTGTGTATATATTGAAATGTGCGATCTCTTTCGACGTTATAAGAATCATCCTTAATTCGATCCTGGAACCTATGTCGTCATCAGATTTGATCGCTTTTGAATCACCACTAGTCGAGATTTCGCAGTTACCTCCCTTGTATGTCATGCGGAAGGGAAGGGACAGGTAGGCACAGGTCTGTACCGAGGCGGGGTTTGGTTATTTCAAGGCATCCAGGACGTACAATTAAATCTCACACAGTGCACATGAAGAACTAGTATACCTGTTTATTCAGGACATCGGCAGCATCAAACTTATATCAGGTTTGTGTTTCTTAAATTTAAACTTAAAAACACACGAAACATTAAACGAAGAGAAACCGAAAGTAGGAATTGTTGGCCCCAAGGTAATAAAAGAATATAAAGTATATTGATTTAAATTTCTTTTATTGTTATGGGTTTTACAAATGTTTGAGATTCAGGTAAACAAAGTCATTCGTCGAAGTGAAAATGACAGAATAGAGATATGTTGACTTGGTCCTGAATACTAACGTTCACAGTTACCTCCCTTGTATTGTGACTGTGAGGGGGCGTGTCTATTACCAATAAATCAAGGCCTGGTTGGTGTTGACGGAGGTGGATTACAGGTCATAAATACAGGACCCTATTGGTAGTTGTTTTAAAGTTAGCTTTTAATATGAAAACAAATGCACATTTCAAACAATGACGACAGTTTACCTCCACATCTACACGAGGGAAGTTGACATCAATCCTAATCTCACATGATCACAATACATTCATATATTCAGTTTCGGTTCATCTATTCAAGGTAAATCCTTTATAGTGTGGAAACAATGATCAAGCCTGTTCTTATGACAGAATTCATGAAAACTCTAATGTAGGAACATATTTTATTGAAACAATAGTATAAACAAATACATAGACACACGCTTCTGAAACACCTTGTTTGACATGAAGTCACGATATGTAGAATCTGTTATTCCTGTAGCACTATGGATTGGTCGATATGGTCATTTCTGTTACAAGAAATGATATGTTAACGACTCATTCGACATGGATTTACAGAGTCGTTTCAGCATACTTAGTGGTGCACACAAGTTACTGACGGGGTGAGTGCGTTTAGTGTTATGCCGCGTTATGCAGTATTTCAGTTATATCATCGTGTGTCAGCTTGATATGGAAGGTAAGCCCGAAGTCGCACTCAAGAAATGTTATCGTCTCAAACAAAACACATGCTACTCCATTACAAAGACGGAACAACTTCAGCTGAAATTATTTCTACGAAAAGTGAACAGTTATTTATGTTTTACAGATGTCGACGTCACGGGCTGAGAAAGTGACTGAATTCCTCACCTGTGTGATCTGCCAGGAACTGTACATAGACCCCTGTACACTGCGGTGTGATCACACATTCTGCAGGAAATGTGTCACAGGGTACATCCAAACCAGACAAGATGCTGTACAGTCCAAGACGATCCCCTGTGCCTTCTGTCGACAAGATACCAAGGTCCCCGACCCCAGCCGGCCAGTGGAGGAGTGGGCGGGGCAGATCAAACCCAGCATCATTATACAGGGGCTGATTGACACACAAGCTGGCGTTGTCGAAACAGGTATTGGTTTATTACATTATCAATTACACATTATTTCACAAACTGATATCTAGTAATAAGAATCATGTTTGTAATGAAAGCATGTTAAAGGGTACTCGTTATTTGTTTAAACATGCAGTATAATAACAGTATTGCTGTTAACAGTATGTTCAATGATACCAATTGACTCCACTAAACAACTCCAGAAAATATACATTTGTTACAAACATGACTCTTACTGTAATCTCGGCATAGATATATTTACAATATATTTTGACGTCGGGACAATGTGCACTGGCAATGCTAATTGACCTGCTGATTATTATCGGTTTACATGATGCTAATATAATCAGATCATCCATAAAGCACTTGAAAATATTATTATCTGAAAACATCTACAAATGGCAGTATATGAAAAGGGTATTTGTAATGATAGAATGTTTCAGGTTCATAAAAGTGAGTGAGTATGTATTTTTGCCACCTTCAGCAATGTTCCAGAGATATCACTGCGGGAGACACAAGAAATGGGCTTCACACATTTTACTCATGTGGGGAATCAAACCTGGCTAACACTTAAACCACAAGGCTTCCCCACCGCCCGTGATGATAGTGATCAGAACTTATAAGTGCAATTGTACCTGTTGAAACTACATGTACGTAACTGGGTGAATGAGTTCAGTTTCACGCCACTGCCAATTATGCCAATATGGGGCTTCACACATCAAACCCATGGGCGTGACGAGCCAACACTTTATCTCCAAGCCTTCACCCACCGCCCTATTCGTGCATTGAAAATAGGTGAGAGGGGGTGATTTTACCTGGATTCTCAATCTATTTTATATAAATATTGTTATGATATGTCAAATAACTATAGACATGTCCACTTACAGGTTCCGCTTCACGTTGCTCAGTGTGTGAGAAGTTAGGGGAGAAAACTCAGGGAGCCTCATGGTGTTCTGAGTGTCAAGTGTCCCTCTGCGAAAGATGTGTCAAGATACATCGTGCAAGTCCAGCATCACATGACCATGAGATCTGTGACCTTTCAGGGGAGGTCAAGGTGAAGAGGAGGCGCAAGGTCATATGCAGGGAACATAAGGATGAGGTTATAAAGCTTGTGTGTAAAGACTGCCACAAAGCTGTGTGTCAGACATGTTGTGTTGTTTACCATCGGAAATGTGAGTCTGTCGTTACCATTCAGTCAATGTTGCCAAACCTGAAATACCATTTAAGAAGGCATGCTAAACAGTTATCAAAGAAAATATATAGAAAAGAAACAATTGTTAAGAAAACAGACGAGAAAATTAGCGGAATTGAGAAAAACAAAATAGCAGTCGAAAATCACATTAAATCTGCTGTTGAGAGAGCCATCGCCAACATCAAGCAGAAAGAAAAACAGCTGATGAATGAAGTCAAGGATATTACAGACAAACAAACTAAGCAACTTAAAGCAGTTGTTAGACTTGAAGAGATTGAGATGCAGATGTACAGACAACATTGTGAGTTCATTGACCAGGCCTTGGTATCGGACTGTGAGATGGACCTGTATGACGCCTATCAGGCCTGGGAGTCGGGGGCTGTAGAGTTGGGGGATGTCAGGGACACAGACACAGAAGACACACCGAGAATAGATGACATCAGGTTTACACCTGACACTGACAACGTCCAGCACATCCTAGATGACCTACAGCTGGGGAAGATTGAGGTCGCATACCAGGATCAGGGTACATGTCTGCCGTCTCCAGTGCTGGTTGACCAGATAGATGGGAGGATAGTGGGTGATGAGGGGGGGCCTGTGCTACTTGACGTCACAGTCCTGGTTGTAGATGGTTTACAGACATGTGTTGTCACTGACTACGTCAACGAGTGTGTGAAATCTTTGTACACCAGAAACAACTTGACATGCCACAGTACACTTACCCTGGGTGACTCTCCATGTCGTGTAACACAGTTGAATGAGAACCAGGTGATGGTTTCTGTCCCTGACATATGGAAGATTGTAACAATAGAGGTGACCCCTGACCTGGTGCTGCTCTCTACCAACACAACAAGCAAGGAATACTACAGTCTCGCTGTTCTGAGTCCCTCATGTCTAGCAGCAGGTACTACCAACTGTGTTGATATCCTGGACATGGCAGGACACGTGCTGAGGTCAGTTACTACACACAACAATGAGACACTGTTTACACGCCCCGACTACATGTGTGTCAACAACAAGGGCAATATACTCGTGTCTGACAGGGATGAGCAGTCTGTGACATGTGTGACGTCAGAGGGGGGTGTCGTGTGGAGATACGCCCCTACTGGAGGCAGAGCACTCAGACCTTATGGTATTTCAACTACTACAACTGGAGACATCCTGCTTGCATGCAGTAACAAGGTGATACGGCTGACAGAGACAGGGGGTTATGTCACAGATCATCAGGACATTGGCTGTGATCCATATGGATTGTATGTAGATAGACATGACACACTGTATGTTTGTGGTGGAGATCAGATACACGAAGTCAACTTTATGTAGTCACATCAATAATTGCATGATTTCAATCATCACTATCGCTGGTGTTAAATTCTCTATAACAACTCAAAATGGACTCTTCCGATTGGGGTGTTAATGATCATACAAAGGTGTATCCACATACATTATTTCCACATCATTACATATCACATTATGTGTTTAGCAACCTGGTTCTCTTTATTAAATCGCCTCCGTGTTCTAGTAAGTACGGTGTCGGCCGGGAAGGCGAAAAGCCCGTGGTTCGATCCCAATCAGCTCAAGAGATACCAATACTTCACTCTATTCTTAGTAGATATGATATGGTTTACTTGTTATTTAAGTGCTCACTTTACTACTTGGACCAGTGGATGGTCACTTGATATACTGTTTTAATGACACTAATGAGTTCCCAAATCTTGAGACCATCAGCGGGTTCCCGGGTCGGGTTGGTAACCCGGGCTGTAGATTTGGACTCGTCCCAGGTCCATTCAGTAGCATGTTAGGTACGTGGTACATTGCACCGTAGTCATAGATCGTTTTTACTTTACTAGATAGTAGATAGGGTGTTCCATGTAGGATGTTTGTGATGTCATGAAGTTTGTTTTGTGGAACGTTATAGTGAGCCACTTAATAACAAATAGCTCCTGCATCATACCTGTACGGAGGAACACTTCTACAATTGTGTAATTGTGTCCATATCTATAATGATTATAATAGTGTTGTAGGCATAGCTCATTTCATTGTTCAATTGTCAAAAAATAAACTGTAAGTGATTCCATGTTATTGTTCGCCTAAAAATGAAATTATGTTTGTGCGTCAGCTCCATAATCAGAGACCATGAAATAGATTTAGTTTACTCTGCATAAACTGAACAAACATTAGGCCACGCACACCCTCGGATTTGTTTCATGACTGGCTGATAATAGAGTTGGCAGATCTTGTGTTGCACTATTGAGCTGTACAATGTCATATTTTGAATCGTCTACTCTTTGTTTGTGTTTATGACTTAATAGACAGTCTTTGAAGTTGTTATTGTTGTCTTGTAAAATGTATTAACGCATGGTATGGACACAAGTCTTTTTAGATTTATACCATAAACACAATAAATATTGTTAAGTTACACTCAGCAAGAGCAGAATGTATTTTTCACAAACAAAAGCATGACCCTATACCATTGTCTGTCATGTACTTACACCTCCATAAACGCAAAACATATTGAAGTAAATTCTTAATCCATAACTGGATTCCACAGGAGGTACCGCTACATTAAAGTTGCGTCACAATGTTTTGCAGACCAGTGTGACATCATCGGTTACCATGACGTCACGATCAACTGACATACCTTTTCTCCCTGCCACTGAAGCTGGTCAGTTGTACTTTTTTACACTGGAGACATTTGATATTACTCTTTACAGCTGAATAGGTTGGAAACAGAATCTCACCTCATACACTTATTTTGTTAGCCATTAGGGCTGGGTTAGGTGGGTCCTGGGTTGGATCTGGGCACCCACAAGATTACCCGGACCCGTAGTTAGTCACGTGCTATATTGTTTAATAACAATAAAACTCCATGGCTACACCGAAAATCACTAATGTGTCATATTTCTTTCTGACACCCCACGTGTTCCTTCTGACATTTATATATCTAACTAAAAATAAAGCTTCAGTCAATTTCAGCGTATGCATGATCAGTTCGTACATACATGTATCTGAAGGGTTTTTGCCAGGGCTCCGGTAAAACATTTCTAATCAGGCATTTTCTACCCTACTCGAATCCTACAGCAGGTTCCCTGGTCGGGTCAGGTCAGGATGTAGGGTACCTGGGTAGGGTCAGGTAATAGGGGGTCGGGAACCTGGGTTGGGTCAGGTAATAGGGAGTCGGGTACCTGGGTAGTAAATTTGGACTCATCTCAGGCCTAGTAGCCATCTACCTGTCTGTTCAGGTTCGAATTATGTTTTCAACCTGTTTAATGTATGAGTCTGAAATATTATGAGTATATCATGACACTAAAACCAAAGTGTTAGGTTTGAAAAAGACATCTTAATTGTTGAAAATCTTTGAGAATATTCTACCAAAGCACAAGGTCAAGGAATCTGGAACAATTATATGACGTCTAGCAGCACAATTAGATTTGTGCATGCAATTATAATAACTTTTGTTCACTGTATTTTTTACTTGTTCTTACGTAACTCTCCCTGTAGCACAGATCCGTCATGGAATGTATCTCAATACTGCACGTCTGGGACAGGTTAAGTCATTGTGCCGTCATACACAACTACAACAAAACAACTAAACAGGTTTTTGCATTACGTGCTAAAATGCAAGCAAACCCACGCCAACCTTATCTTATATGTCTCTAACGTATTCGCCACCAGCAACAACATATCCAGAAGCATTTGGACTTCAACAAAATAGGTGACAGCTGGCCTCACCAATATCTGTGTTCGTCTTTAAGCCCTAACGTTGTCGAGTGCAGAACAACACTCCAATATTGAAAGTATTGAAAAAAGGATGGCTTTTTCTTCACAAATTCAGAGTTTCCATATAATGGACTATAATCTTGACTTGTTTGACTTGCTTATTGGAATCCGCTGAGTAAGTGAGTTTAAATTTAACGTCGCATCAGAAAGTTGGGGTATTGTTGCACTTTTAAAGTCAGAAAGTCACATGCCTCTAGCTTCATTTATAACAAAGGGTCTATAACATATGTTATAAGAGTGTGTTTGAGAAAACAAATTTTGACAGTGTATTAATCCTGCACAAGAGACTCACTGTATATGTTGACGAAAACGAACTCATGATAATCAAGACGGGTTAAGGAAGTGACGACTTGTAAAACTAAGAGCCAAAATAGTTCAGGTGACTAATGTACGTGTTTACTATGTTTACAAACAAATTTGAAACCTCACATCATGGTCAGCCTTCGACGGGCTTCGTCTATCAGGAAACAGGCCTTGCTGATGATTTAGGATATAAACACATACAATGTACTTTCCCATGCTAAAGTAAACAGTGAAAATATCTATTGGAACTCCTCAGTCAATTTGCAAATTATGGTTGTTTCAGTCACCATTCCCGGATTGTCATTTCTCTTTCGTGGCGTGATTCTTGAACGCTGACACTTTGCGATACGCCGATTGCTGATGATAAGCATTGCAGGCACATCTCAGATATGTCCATACTGATATTAAAGTGTAGCGAATGTAGTTCGCTGTGCACGTGAACTTGGCAGCGTTGTGGACAAGGTCAAGGTTATTCAGTTAGAGACTTAGAGAGACTCAGTTGAAATACGTATGTTTTGCAAGGAGGAGCATAAACATGGTGTGTTAACTTTGGAAATTCGGCTTAGAAAGTTCCACCAAAAATGCTTCAGAGACGCTCAAAGCTTCTTTAAAAGTCTGCACTATTTGTCTGCTTTCTGTTTCTTTTCACTCCTATCTCAAAGATAGTGAGTGAGTATGATTTTACACCGCTTTTAGCAATATTCCAGCAATATCACGGCGGGGGACACCAGAAATGGGCTTCACACATTGTACCCAAGTCGGGAATCGAACCAGAGTCTTCTGCGTGACGAGCGAACGCTTTAACCACGAGGCTACCCGACCGACCCTATCTCATAGATAACATTAGTACTCTGAGTTACACAAGTATATCACATGGTGAGGCGTATACTGATCTTGTGACTGGAAAGATATCATATCAACACAGGACAGGGGACAAACCAGAGGTAGGTTTGGTGTTGGCACTGGACATAACATGGAATAATTCCGTAATATATAAATCCTTACACATTATTAATAAACATTTGTTAATATTTAAGATTGGTCGATGTTTCGCTAGCACCGCCAAAGTATATATTTGGGGGGGTAAATGATTTAGGAAGAGTTAAGACATTAAATATATATTTTATTACTTTTAGCCAACCGGAGATCAAGAAGTGTAAGTTATTTTCTAACGGGTCAACCCGCATCCCTCAGGAGAGACATACAAACCAACTGTTTCTATAATATGAATGGATGAGGCGATACGGTAACCGCCGCTAGATACATAGTTGTAGAGAGTGAACTCTGGTCCTACTGTGTACATAGAACTGCAGCTGTACTTTCGCTGTTGATAGGTTCTTGACATTACAATGCTCATAGGAGAACTGGCAAGGTAATTGCATGTGTCTTTGGTAAACATTCGTTATCGTAGCTCTTGCCGTTGGAAACACCCATTTCACGACCAGACCCTGATACTCGTATCTTCCTTTGTTGTATTTCATATATGAACAGTTTTTATCAATATCGCCTAAAGCTGCAGGAATGGTGCATTATCCTTTTTTTCATCTATACACCAGTGTATGTACTGCCTCCATACAACAACCTGTCAGTTCAACGCAATATGTCATGCTAACATAGGACGCTGTAACATTTATGCAAAATATTTTCACAAAAAGGCCCTCGTATTAAAAGTTCCTGTATAATAACTTGATTTGTACCAGTATATAATGGCATGTATAGGTAGCACATGCATATGTTCCCCGTGGAGATCCGTGTTAGAATGGGTCTTCGGCAATCAATGCTTGTCGTATTTGTCATGTCATTTTTGTTACAAGAAATGATATGTAAACGACTCCTTCGACCTGGATTTACAGAGGCGTTTCAGCAAACTTAGTGGTGCACACAAGTTACTGATGGGGTGATTGTGTTTGGTGTTATGCCGCTTAATGCAGTATTTCAGTTATATCATCGCGTGTCAGCGCCAGAAGTGGCACTCAAGAAATGTTATTGTCTCAAAAAATACCACATGTTAATCCATTACAAAGACGGAACAACTTCAGCTGAAATTATTTCTTGGAAAAGTGAACAGTTATTTATATTTTACAGATGGCGACGTCGCGGGCTGAGAAAGTAACGGAATTCCTCACCTGTGTGATCTGCCAGGAACTGTACACAGAACCCTGTACACTGAGGTGTGATCACACATTCTGCAGGAAATGTGTCACAGGATACATCCAAACCAGACCAGATGCTGTACAGTCCCAGACGATCCCCACTCCCTGCTGTTGACAAGATACCAATGTCCCCCATCCCAGCCGATCAGTGGAGCAGTGGGCGGGGCAGATCAAACCCAGCATCATTATACAGGGGCTGATTGACACTCAAGCTGACGTTGTCAAAACAGGTACCGTTATTGGTTTATTACATTATGAACTACACATTCATTTCACAAACTAGTGAAATCTAGTAATAAGAATCATGGTTGTAATGAAGGCATGTTTAAGGGTACTCATTATTTGTTTAAACATGCAGTATAATTACAGTATTGCTGTTAACAGTATGTTCAATGATACCAATTAACTCCACTAAACGACTCCAGAAAATATACATTTGTTACAAACATGACTCTTACTGTAATCATGGCATAGACATATTTACAATATATTTTGACGTCGGGACAATGTGCACTGGCAATGCTAATTGACCTGCTGATTATTATCGGTTTACATGATGCTTATATAATCAGATCATCCATAAAGCCCTTGAAAATATTATTATCTGAAAACATCTACAAATGACAGTTTTAGAAAGGGGTATCAGTAATGATAGAATGTTTCAGGTTGATTAAAGTGAGTGAGTATGTATTTTTGCCACCTTCAGCAATGTTCAAGAGATATCACTGCGGGAGACACAAGAAAAGGGCTTCACACATTTTACTCATGTAGGGAATCAAACCTGGCTAACCCTTAAAACATCTTCGCTTCCCCATCGCCCGTGATAATCGTGATCACAACTGTACACTTATAAGAGCAATTGTTCCTGTTGAACTACATGTACATAACTGGGTGAATGAGTTCAGTTTTACGCCACTGTTAATTATGCCAATATGGGGCTTCACATATCAAACCCATGGGCGTGACGAGCCAACGCTTGAACTCCAAGCCTACACCCACCGCCCTTTTCGTGCATTGAACATAAGTTAGCAGATGATTTTACCTGGATTCGCAATCTTCTAATTTATATAAATGTTGTTATGATATGTCAAATAACTATAGACATGTCCACTTACAGGTTCCGCTTCATGTTGCTCAGTGTGTGAGAAGTTAGGGGAGACAACTCCGGGAGCCTCATGGTGTTCTGAGTGTCAAGTGTCCCTCTGCGAGAGATGTGTCAAGATGCATGGTGCAAGTCCAGCATCACATGACCATGAAATCTGTGACCTTTCAGGAGAGGTCAAGGTGAAGAAGAGACGCAAGGTCATGTGCAGGGAACATAAGGATGAGGTTATAAAGCTTGTATGTAAAGACTGCCACAAAGCTGTGTGTCAGACATGTTGTGTTGTTTACCATAGGAAATGTGAGTCTGTCGTTACCATTCAGTCAATGTTGCCAAACCTGAAATACCATTTAAGAAGGCATGCTAAACAGTTATCAAAGAAAATACATAGAAAAGAAACAATTGTTAAGAAAACAGACGAGAAAATTAGCGGAATTGAGAAAAACAAAATAGCAGTCGAAAATCACATTAAATCTGCTGTTGAGAGAGCCATCGCCAACATCAAGCAGAAAGAAAAACAGCTGATGAATGAAGTCAAGGATATTACAGACAAACAAACTAAGCAACTTAAAGCAGTTGTTAAACTTGACAAGATTGAGATGCAGATGTACAGACAACATTGTGAGTTCATTGACCAGGCCTTGGTATCGGACTGTGAGATGGACCTGTATGACGCGTATCAGGCCCAGGAGTCGGGGGCTGTAGAGTTGGGGGATGTCAGGGACACAGACACAGCAGACACACCGAGAATAGATGACATCAGGTTCACACCTGACACTGACAACGTCCAGCACATCCTAGATGACCTACAGCTGGGGAAGATTGACGTCACATACCAGGATCAGGGCACATGTCTGCCGTCTCCAGTGCGAGTTGACGTGATAGATGGGAGGATAGTGGGTGATAAGGAGGAGCCTGGGCTACGTGACGTCACAGTCCTGGTTGCAGATGGTTTACAGACATGTGTTGTCACTGACTACGACAACAAGTGTGTGAAATCTTTGTACACCAGAAACAACTTGACATGCCACAGTACACTTACCCTGGGTGACTCTCCATGTCGTGTAACACAGTTGAATGAGAACCAGGTGATGGTTTCTGTCCCTGGCATAAGGAAGATTGTAACAGTAGGAGTGACCCCTGACCTGTTGTTGCTCTCAACCATCAAAACAAGCAAGGAATACTACAGTCTCGCTGTTCTGAGTCCCTCATCTCTAGCAGCGGGTACTACCAACTGTGTTGATATCCTTGACATGGCAGGACACGTGCTGAGGTCAGTCACTACACACAACAATGAGACACTGTTTACCCAACCCTGGTACATGTGTGTGAACAACAAGGGCAACATACTCGTATCTGACCCGTGGAAGAAGTCTGTGACATTTCTGACGTCAGAGGGGGATGTTGTGTGGAGATACGCCCCTACTGGAGACAGAGCACTCGACCCTTTTGGTATTTCAACTACTACAACTGGAGACATCCTGCTTGCAGACAGTAACAAGGTGATACGGCTGACAGGGGGTTATGTCACAGATCATCAGGACATTGGCTGTGATCCATATGGATTGTATGTAGATAGACATGACACACTGTATGTTTGTGGTGGAGATCAGATACACGAAGTCAACTTTATGTAGTCACATCAATAATTGCATGATTTCAAACATCACTATTGCTGGTGTTAAATTCACTATAACAACTCAAAATGGACTCTTCCGATTGGGGTGTTAATGATCATACAAAGGTGTATCCACATACATTATTTTCACATCATTACATATCACATTATGTGTTTAGCAACCTGGTTCTCTTTATTAAATCGCCTCCGTGTTCTAGTAAGTACGGTGTCGGCCGGGAAGGCGAAAAGCCCGTGGTTTGATCCCAATCAGCTCAAGAGATACCAATACTTCACTCTATTCTTAGAAGATATGATATGGTTTACTTGTTATTTAAGTGCTCACATTACTACTTGGACCTGTGGATGGTCACTTGATATATTGTTTTAATGACACTAATGAGTTCCCAAATCTTGAGACCATCAGCGGGTTCCCGGGTCGGGTTGGTTACCCGGGCTGTAGATTTGGACTCGTCCCAGGTCCATTCAGTAGCATGTTAGGTACGTGGTCCATTGCACCGTAGTCATAGATCGTTTTTACTTTACTAGATAGTAGATAGGGTGTTCCATGTAGGATGTTTGTGATGTCATGAAGTTTATTTTGTGGAACGTTATAGTGAGCCACTTAATAACAAATAGCTCCTGCATCATACCTGTACGGAGGAACACTTCTACAATTGTGTAATTGTGTCCATATCTATAATGATTATAATAGTGTTGTAGGCATAGTTCATTTCATTGTTCAATTGTCAAAAAATAAACTGTAAGTGATTCCATGTTATTGTTCGCATAAAAATGAAATTATTTTTGTGCGTCAGCTCCATAATCAGAGACCTAAATAGATTTAGTTTACTCTGCATAAACTGAACAAACATTAGGCCATGCACACCCTCGGATTTGTTTCATGACTGGCTGATAATAGAGTTGGCAGATCTTGTGTTGCACTATTGAGCTGTACAGTGTCATATTTTGAATCGTCTACTCTTTGTTTGTGTTTATGACTTAATAGACAGTCTTTGAAGTTGTTATTGTTGTATCGTCACGATATGGCTGAAATATTGCCGATGTGACGTAAAGCATAAACTCACTCACTGTTATTGTTGTCTTGTAAAATGTATTTTTGTGCTTAGAGGGGAATGCACACTTTGCGTTTTGTACGCAGATTAACGCATGGTATGGACACAAGTCCTTTTAGATTTATACCTCCATAAACACAATAAATATTGTTAAGTTAATTCTTAAATAAATAAATTGCAAGTGAGTCCGTTTCATCAGATGGTTAACATTAATTAACATCAGCCCATGATTAGCGAACTACTTGCGTGACGTCGTAGGAATTCGCGGTGGCTCGCCCGTGATATGCATAGCCCCCAGATTAAATAAAATCATTGAAGTCATTGACAGAAAACTTCAATCGATTTCTTTTACTTATTTGTACCGCACACATAATCATTGGATCGTTTTAAATAGCATTGGCACTCAGCAAGAGTAGAATGTATTTTTCACAAATAAAAAACATGACCCTATACCATTGTCTGTCATGTACTTACACCTCCATAAACGCAAAACATATTGAAGTAAATTCTTTATCCATAACTGGATTCCACAGGAGTTATCGCTACATTAAAGTTGCGTCACAATGTTTTGCAGACCAGTGTGACATCATCGGTTACCATGACGTCACGATCAACTGACATACCTTTTCTCCCTGCCACTGAAGCTGGTCAGTTGTACTTTTTTACACTAGAGACATTTGATATTACCCTTTACAGCTGAATAGGTTGGAAACAGAATCTCACCTCGTACACTTATTTTGTTAGCCATTAGGGCTGGGTTAGGTGGGTCCTGGGTTGGATCTGGGCACCCACAAGATTACCCGGACCCGTAGTTAGTCACGTGCTATATTGTTTAATAACAATAAAACTCCATGGCTACACCGAAAATCAGTAATGTGTCATATTTCTTTCTGACACTCCACGTATTCCTTCTGACATTTATATATCTGAGTAAAGGTAAAGCTTCAGTCAATTTCAGTGTATGCATGATCAGTTCGTACATACATGTATCTATAGGGTTTTTGCCAGGGCTCCGGTAAAACATTTCTAATCAGGCATTTTCTACCCTACTCGAATCCTACAGCAGGTTCCCTGGTCGGGTCAGGTCAGGATGTAGGGTACCTGGGTAGGGTCAGGTAACAGGTTGTGGGGTGCCTGGGTTGGGTCAGGTAATAGGGAGTCGGGTTTCAGGTACATTCAGCCAGGTACATTGCACGTGAATGTGGTGTCACGAAGTCACGTGAGGAACGTGACGTGTAGTGTTCACTGACTGTGTTGAACCATTCGAGGTCTTCGTATTACACAGGCGAGCATATTTTACATCTTGCAAAATATTGGCTCAAGAATTTGAGGTTACAAAGTATTGGAGTGTTTAGCCGTTGGGCAAAGTTGAGCCGTTGGGCAAAGTTGAGCCGTTGGGCAAAGTTGAGCCGTTGGACAAAATTAAGCCGTAGGGCAGATCCTTGTATTTGAGTTGTACGATGTGTTCGGTATGATGTGGGAAGTTTCTGGTCAAGTTACAGTTGGGATCCAAAACTGAGCCAAGGAAAACGGAAGAAAAAGCAGTCACAGATGAAGATTAATTTAAGATAAGTATATTATGATTATAATTTCAAACATTTCTGAATAACTGCAAAACGTGTTACATCACGTTTGCTTTGGTCACAATTTTAGTTGGGAATTGTATATTTCACGTAACTGCGGTTTTGACAGATTCGTGGATTCGACTTGAAACACTGTTTACGAGTTTGACGAGTGTATTTATTTGTGATTGTTAATAAACCTGCTCGCTTGTCAGCTGCGGTAGGCATAACCCTTGAGATGCGTATGTTGTACATGGTAAATATTTTATGTTCGTCTGAGCGAAGCGAATTAGAACATAAATACCTTTTCTCTCTGCCACTGAAGCTGGTCAGCTGTACTTTTTTACGCCGGAGATACTTGATATTACTCTTTACAGCTGCAAAGGTTGGAATCAGAATCTCACCTCGTGCACTTTTTTTGTTAGCCATTAGGGCTTGGTTGGTTTGGTCCTGGGTTGGATCTGGGCACCAACAAGATTACCCGGACCCGTAGTGAGTCACATGCTATATTGTTCAATAACAATAAAACTCCATGGCTACACCGAAAATCACTAATGTGTCATATATCTTTCTGACACTCCACGTATTCCTTCTGACTTTTATATATCTGAGTAAAGGTAAAGCTTCAGTCAGTTTCAGTGTATGCATGATTAGTTCGTATGTACATGTATCTGAAGGGTTTTTGCCAGGGCTCCGGTAAAACATTTCTAATCAGGCATTTTCTACCCTCCTCGAATCCTACAGCAGGTTCCCTGGTCGGGTCAGGCCAGGTTGTAGGGTACCCTGGTAGGGTCAGGTAACAGGTTGTGGGGTGCCTGGGTTGGGTCAGGTAATAGGGAGTCGGGTACCTGGGTAAGGTCAGGTAATAGGGGGTCGGCTACCTGGGTAGTAAATTTGGTCTCATCTCAGGCCTAGTAGCCATCTACCTGTCTGTTCACGTTCGAATAACGTTTTGAACCTGCTTAATGTATGAGATTAATATGATGAGCATATCATGACACTAAAACCAAAGAGTTTGCTTTGAAAAGAACCCATCTTAATTGTTGAAAATCGTTTAGAATATTCTAACAGAGCACATGGTACTTTCATTATGCCGTCACACAGAACTACAACAAAACAACTAAACAGGTGTTTGCATCACATGCAAAAATGCAAGCAGACCCACTCCAACCTCTTCTTAAATGTCCCGAACCCTTTCGCCACCAGCAACAACATATCCAGAACCATTTGGACTTCACCAAATTAGGTGACAGCTGACCTCACCAATATCTGTGTTCATCTTTCAGCCCTAACGTTGTCTTGTGCAGGACAACTTTAAAGGACAACAACACTCCAATGTTGAAAGTATTGAAAAGTGGATGGCTTTTTCTTCCCAGATTCAGAGTTTCCATATAATGGACTATTATCTTGACTTGTTTGACTTGCTTATTAGAATCTGCTGAGTAAGTGAGTTTAAATTTAACGTCGCATCAGAAAGTTGGAGTATTGTTGCCCTTTTAAAGTCAGAAAGTCACATGCCTCTAGCTTCAATTAAAACAAGGTTATGATCACTTCCAGGGTCTATAACATATGTTATAAGAGTGTGCTTGAGAAAACAAATTGTGACAGTGTATTAATCCTGCACAAGAGACTCACTGTATATGTTGACGAAAACGAACTGATGATAATATGATAATCAAGACGGGTTAAGGAATTGACGACTTGTGAAAATAAGAGCCAAAATAGTTCGAATGACTAATTTACGTGTTCACTATGTTTACAAACAAATTTGAAACCTCACATTATGGTCAACCTTCGACGGGCTTCGTCTATCAGGAAACAGGCCTTGCTGATGTTTCAGGATATAAACACATACAATGAACTTTCCCATGCTCAAGTAAACAGTGAAAGTATCTATTGGAACTACTCATTCAGTTTACGTGCTTGTCCCAGTTCCGGATTGTCATTTCTCTTTCGTGGCGTGATTCTTGAACGTCGACACTTCGCGATACGCCGATTGTTGATGATTAGTATTGCAGGCACATCTCAGAGATGTCCATACTGATGTTAAAGTGTAGCGAATGTAGTTTGCTGTGCACATGAACTTGGCAGCGTTGTGGACAAGGTCAAGGTTATTCAGTTAGGGATATTGCCCGTATGACAAGTATTTTTCTGTTTGCTAAGATATCTTTAAGTGTTATCTAAATCGTTACTGAAATAAGATCAATTGAATTTTAATACGATCTTAATTCGACGAAGGCCAGTAACATGTCAGCTAAAGGTATCTCTGTATGTGACGCGAAGTAACACAGTGAAAGTGAACCGCATATATTCTTGCACCGCTCATGTACCTACCCAAGAAACGTATCCGACGCATTTTTGTTGTTATATCTACGAAAGGACGTTTAACTTTACTGCAACATTGTTGCCACAGTGTTGATCCAACGTACCAGGTTAACGCTACCATAAGACTCAGTTGAAAGATATACATCGTGCAAGGAGGAGCATAAACACGGTGTGTTTACTTTGGAAATTCGGCTTAGAAAGTTCACTACTTCCACCAAAAATGCTTCAGAGACACTCAAAGCTTCTTGAAAAGGAGTCTGCACTATTTGTCTGCTTTCTGTTTCTTTTCTAAAGTGAAGGCCTATCTCATAGATAACATTAGTAGTCTGGGTTACACAAGTAGATCACATGGTTTGACGGATACTGATCTTGTGACTGGAAAGATATCATATCAACACAGGACAGGGGACAACTGATAGGTAGGCTTGGTGTTGGCACTGGACATAACATGGAATAATTTCGTAATATATAAATCCTTCCCTTACACATTATTAATGAACATTTGTTAATATTTAAGATTGGACGATGTTTTGCTAGCACCGCCAAAGTATATATTTTGGGAGGTAAATGATTTAGGAAGAGATAAGACATTAAATATATATTTTATTATTTATAGCCAACCGGAGATCATGAGGTGAAGTCATTTTCTAACTGGTCGACCCGCATTATCCTTTTGTTCCCATCTATACACCAGTGTATGTACTGCCTTCATACAACAACCTGTCAGTTAAACGCAATCTGTCATGTCAGCATTGGACGCTGTAACATTTATGCAAAACATTTTCACAAAAATTACCTCACATAAAAAAATCCCGTATAAGAAGTTGATTTGTACCAGTATATACTGACATGTATAGCTAACACATGCATATATGTGTTCCCCATGAAGATCCGGGTTAGAATGGGTCTTCAGCAATCAATGCTTGTCGTATTGTGTCATGTCATCGTGTCCTAATTACCTAGATCGATGCTCCTGATGTCAGTCACAACCTTGTTTGGTCCAGACGCGATAATTTACAGATCGCCGTCATATAACTGGAATAGTTCCGAGTGCGGCGTTCAACAACAAACACAACAAGACACATGTAGAGAATAATACATGAGTGTGTTTCCGTATCATAAATATCAAAATTTATAGAATAAAAGTTGAATTGTTCGACCCTGTAACGAGCATACAACACATTCCTCATATTTGATATTTACGATTCGGAATCACGCGAGGGTTATCTTTTTAACCTGTCATGTCATTCTTACAATAATCTCGATCAACGATGTTCAATTTTTCAACCTGATCTCACTCAGCTTCAGAAACCGCGTATGAATATAGTGTTTGAGTGAACTGTCCTATGTATCATACGGTGATTTACAGCCATGTTTGTCGATATGATTATCCACATATCGGGAAGAAACTTTCGTCTATAGGTTACAGATGAAGCAGATACTGAATCGATGTATGGAGATAAAAAGTTGTACCTGCACGCTGACCATTCGCACGTTAATGGGATCATGATACCAAATATGACATGAAACATGACACAGCTGGCAACCACAAAAAAAATAGTCATGCACAATAGGCCACATCGTCACTATCTCGCATGCACGCACGCACGCACATCGCTTTATGGGGGCAATAATCTTGGACGCGACCTCACCTTAGCGGCTATGAATCAAATTTTAGAAACAGATGCCCTTGTTTTGATAGTTTGTGGTTACAGTTTTGTAGATCATTGCAGATCACCCCACACCCCCGCAGATAGTGACACCTGGATTAACGGGATTTCACTCTCAGTCTCTTATTACATTTGGTATCAACCTGTCTCGTCCTTATTTTGATTGTTAATTGTAATATTTATCATTGAAACATTCTTTGCATTATCAATCATTGACATAAAGTATTCATTGTTTTGAGGACTCTGAGAACATTCTCAAATTAATACATCCATATCATGATATTGTGTACACAAGCTTTCTTCGACGTCGTTTTCACATTGATAGATCTTGATCTTCAATCGTTACCACACGCTTGCGAAAACATTTCTATTTATAGACTGATGGGGTGTTATGAACATGTCTCATCACCGTTCTGACAATACTTTCGGAATTTCAAGTTTACAAGTCACTCAGGAGTGAATGAAGCTGGCATTAATAATGTCTTAGTTTGACTTTAACTGAACTGATTGCAATGCGTAAGTTGACTCAAGGGGCGAGGTAAGATAAAGGCTCTTGTTTACCCATTGCAAACATCAAATATTATTTACAAGTTGTCATTTTTCTTTCGTACATATTTCCAACTTCCAAAATCTAACTATGAGCCAGTCAAAGTAAAACCCAATTCCCTCCTACAGAAAAGAACTAATTTGAATTTAAAGATTTATTTGGAAACTTACAGTAACTTCAACGTACATCCTTCCAACATGGATATTACATATGTCGAGAAAGGGAGAAGATTTGTGTTCACAATTATAAATCCACAGGGCAATCAAAAAAGGAAAGTGATACACAAATTGATATGTGATGAGCTGTTCGAAATCCAATTAATTATTCGATATGAGGAAAATGCATACAGTTGTATTTGTTGTTACAAACGATTTAACCGTGCGGAAATAAGTCTGGTGTAATGGTTTTCGTGTGAGTGCTTTTTTTTCAAAAACAATAATTTCAAAAATTAGTAGTCTGATTGGACAAGTATTATTTGATGGTGAGAGGTTGATTGTTCAAAAGTGAAGTAAATGTGGAGAAACAGCGTCTGTGGTCGCATGTTGGTGGTATGGTGAGCATTGAGACGCTGGTCGATCTGGGGTATCTAGATGGTACGTATTCTCTCACCAAACTTGATAGGTATGATGGAGCTGAGCCTTTAATACATAGGTAGGCGATACTTAGTATCTTATGTTCGATCCTTACTGAGGCCGGTATCCAGTGGAGGCGAATCAAGACTAGTGAGATTTAGGAGTGTTTGTTGCTTCGTGTGATAATTCGGGTTAAGTTGTACAGAACAGTCTTTAGTTATAGTACAAGGACACCAACTACCCTCAACATGCATCAACTCGATAATTCGGAAAAAACGAATGCAGAATTAAATGAATATTCCCAACGGAAACGCTGTCGATTATCTGATCTCATACTGACAACCCTTCTCCATGAAAAAACCACACATTCACAAGGCTTGGTGTTAACATTATTTATTCATTTATACTGACTGTTGGTAGATTTTCAAAGTTCAAACACGTGTGCATTTCAAATAATGATGACAATGTCAAACCTGTGTGAGTTTAATTGGCATTAATTAAGCCTCACCTCACATTGTCACAATAATTCATGTATATTAGTATGAGTTCATCTCTACAAGGTAAATCCTTAATTGTGTGGAAACAAAAACCTTGTTTTTAACAACAGAGCCAGTAAGTTATTAGATAATGAGTTAATGGGCCTTGCTTGGCGTGATATCAATATGTAGAATAATGTATTCCTATAGCACTATGTATAGTCATTTTGGGAACACATTTTTATCAGTTTTTGGTTAAATCGTCCGGTTGATTTTAACAGAATATTAAAGCCGGATGTATTGAGAGACTATCCCACTTGTGGCTGAATATATATGTCAAGTCTTATCACCAGAGTGACTCAATTTGAACCGTTTGTTACAATGTGAGACCTGGCTGACTGTCTAATCGTAACCCTGACGTCTTGACTCCATGCTCGTCACATCAGCAGCTGTGAGTTTGCCTGTTTGACACAAAAACGCCATCAAATTTGGAACAAGAATTCATAAGAGCGACAATTTCATATTTGAACCGTTTGTTACAATGTGAGACCTGGCTGACTGTGTCTCATCGTACCCTGGTGAGGTGATTCGATGCTCATGATGTCAGCAGTTGGTTTGCCTGGTCGACACTCTACATATAATACTGATCGCTATTGTGTAGTTGACTGTGATGTTGTTTCGGCATAGAAACAACATTGACTTCTCAGAGACAAACTACACGTTTGACATCGAATAATAGACGTTTCAACATATTAAATGATGCACTCAACACGTGAATGAGTTTGGTGTTATCCCTCTTTGAACAGTATTTCAGTAATACCATGTCAGCTTGATGCGGAAGGTAAGTTCGAAATGGCTCTCTACAACATATTTTCAGTATGTGCCAACCAAAATTGCCCCATTACAGGGACGGACGAAGTGATATTTTTTGAAAAATTGAAAAATGATTTATGTGACTTTCATTCTTGTTTTCCAGATGGCGACAGCCCAGATTGGGGAAGTGAGAGAATTCCTCACCTGTGTGATCTGCCAGGAACTGTACACAGACCCCTGTACAATGAGGTGTGATCACACATTTTGCAGGAAATGTGTCACCAAGTACATCCAAACCAGACCAGATGCTGTACAGTCCAAGACGATCCCTTGTGCCTTCTGTCGACAAGATACCAACGTCCCTGACCTCAACCGGCCAGTGGAGGAATGGGCGGGGCAGATCAAACCCAGCATCATTATACAGGGACTGATTGACACACAAGCCGACGTTGTCAAAACGGGTATTGATAACATGTGCATTTTAATGGTATTTGATGTTTTTTAGATACATAGTATAATTACAGTATTGCAGTGAGACACTGTTCCAATGATAACAATTGACTCAAATAAACACCAGAAAATACACATTTATCCATCAAAAGCATGTCTCTACTGTATCCAAAGCACTTTAAGAAAGGCGTACTATATATTTTAGCTATGATACTACTTATTAACATGTTCATTATTAACATTGAATATGATGCGGACATAATATATATAAATACTAGTATACGTAACAGTTATTGTGACCAGGTGATCGATAATGCTCTTGAAAACAAAATAGCTAAACATGTCTACAATATGTAAAGTTAATTGTAAGGGCGCAGTCATTTGATGTTCTCAGGGGTTGGGTTCAGGCGGGGATATTATCGAAAAAATATTTTCTCCCCAAATGTTGTTCAAAAACATAATTATGCTTCAAATTGTTGAGAAAAAAAAATTGCCAGTACTTGTTTCTTAAAACAAATTCAGGCTCAAAGATATATATAAATTATTATAATTTTTTTTAAATATCAGGTTCTGTAGCTCGGGCTGAAAATATCTAATCTCAATACAAAATCCCATTTCAAAAGGTCTGTTTCATTTTGATCAGAACTATAAGCCTACATAAAATTATTAACAGTGTAATTTTATGGCAGCCAATGTCTCAAGCATAACAATTTTATTCAAGCATTTTCTCATGTAATTGTTTAAGTTTTCGATCAAACCCTAGACTCCCAAAATCTACCCCTATTCCCCCCACACAAGAATATCAAATAACCCTGACAAGACAACACTTTATCACCAATCCTATACCGCAAGCACTGTTAATAACTTTCAAAAAAGAACAATTTTTCCTGAATTTTCTATCTCGTAATTTATGTAAATACAGTTATAATATCTCCATTAACCATAGAAATGTCCACTTACAGGTTCCGTTTCATGTTGCTCTGTGTGTGAGAAGTTAGGGGAGACAACTCAGGGAGCCTCATGGTGTTCTGAGTGTCAAGTGTCCCTCTGCGAAAGATGTGTCAAGATGCATCGTGCAAGTCCAGCATCACATGACCATGAAATCTGTGACCTTTCAGGAGAGGTCAAGGTGAAGAGGAGACGCAAGGTCATGTGCAGGGAACACAAGGATGAGGTTATAAAGCTTGTGTGTAAAGACTGCCACAAAGTCGTGTGTTCGACATGTTGTGTTATTCACCACAGGCAATGTGAGTCTGTCATTACCACAGAGTCAATGATGCCAACTATGAAATACCACTTGAGAAAAAGCGCGGAACAGTTATCAAAGAAAATACATAGAAAACATACAATTGTTCAGAAAACAAACAAGAAGATTAGCGGAATTGAGAAAAACAAAATAGCAGTAGAAAAGGATATCAAATCTGTTGTTGAGAGAGCCATCGCCAACATCAAGCAGAAAGGAAAACAACTGAAGAATGAAGTCAGGGATATTACAGACAAACAAACTAAGGAACTTAAAGTAGATGTAAAACTTGACGAGATTGAGATGCAGATGTACAGACAACATTGTGAGTTCATTGACCAGGCCTTGGTATCGGACTGTGATATGGACCTGTATGACGCCTATCAGGCCTGGGAATCGGGGGCTGTAGAGTTGGGGGATGTCAGGGACACAGACACAGCAGACACACGGAGAATAGATGACATCAGGTTTACACCTGACACTGACAACGTCCAGCACATCCTAGATGACCTACAGCTGGGGAAGATTGACGTCACATACCAGGATCAGGGCACGTGTCTGCCGTCTCCAGTGCTGATTGACACGATAGATTGGAAGATGGCGGGTGATGAAGTTGAGCCTGCTCTATGTGACGTCACAGTTCTGGTTGTAGATGGCATACAGACAGTTGTGGTCACTGACTTAAATAACAAGTGTGTGAAATCCTTCTACACCAGAAAAAACTTGACATGCCAAAGTAAACTTCCCCTGGATAACTTTCCATGTGGTGCAACACAGTTGAAGGAGAAGCAGGTGATGGTTGCTGTCCCTGACTCCAGTCAGATTGTTACAGTGGAAGTGACCCCTGACCTGGTGCTGCTCTCAACCATCACAACGAGCATGGACTACTGCAGTCTCGCTGTTCTGAGTCCTTCATCTCTAGCAGCAGGTACTACCGCCTGTGTTGACATCCTTGACATGGCAGGACACGTGCTGAGGTCAGTCACTACACACAACAATGAGACACTGTTTGCCCCCCTCTTCTACATGTGTGTCAACAACAAGGGCAACATACTCGTGTCTGACTGGGAGAAGAAGTCTGTGACATGTGTGACGTCAGAGGGGGATGTTGTGTGGAGATACGCCCCTACTGGAGACAGAGCACTTAGCCCTTATGGTATCTCAACTACTCCAACAGGAGACATCCTGCTTGCAGGCAGCAGTAATGTTACAAGGCTTACAGAGACAGGGGATTATGTCACAGATCATCAGGACATTGACTGTGATCCATATGGATTGTATGTCGATAGACATGACACACTGTATATTTGTGGTGGAGGTCAGACACACGAAATCAACTTCATGTAGTCACATCAACCACTGCATGCTTTCAATCATCACTATCGCTGGTGTTAAATGCACTATGGTCTTTTCCGATTGGGATGTGAATGATCATACAAAGGTGTATCCATAGACATTATTTTCACATCATTACACATAACATTAGGCAAGACAAGACAATTATTCAGTATAGAGGCCAGTGGCCCAAAATACAGACATATAAAGGTTTCATTTCATAGCGCTACTTTACACACACACACACACACACACACACACACACATACACACACACACACACACACACACACACACACACTCTCTCTCTCTCTCTCTCTCTCAGCATGGGTCTTTGGTTAGTCACGGGGTATATTGTTAAACGACAATGACAATAAAACTCCATGGTTAAAAAAAACTACAAATCTCTAATGTTCGCATTTCTTTCTGACTATGCACACATTCCTTCTGACGTCTATATGTTTGAGTAAAGATAAAGCCTCAAACAACTTCAGTGTATGCATGACCAGATCGTTTTATACGTATATCGGGCTTTTTGCTTGGGCTCCAGTAAAACAAATCAGATGTTGTATGGTCTACAGTGGTTTGTGTTGATGACTAACAAAGCAGCGTATGAAGTTATTTTTGTTGACTCATTTATGGAGTGAGATATATTTTTGTGTTTTGGAGGTGCACACTTTATATGCAGACTGATGCAAAGTATGCACACCAGAATTTTAAGTGTGTACGTCTATAGACACAATAAATAGAAATTAGCCCACGCCCACCAGCGAACTGCCTGCGAGACGTGCTTTGAATTCGCAGTGTCTAGCCCGTGATATGTCCGTGACTCCAGTTCAAATAAAATCGATGAATGAAAACTTCAATGAATTAGTTTTACTTTGTTTTGTGTTACATACTTAATCATAGGTTCATTTAAAAATATCATTTGCACACAGCACGAGCAAAATGTATTTTTTCCACAAATAAAAAAAGTCTATGATTACAGTTGTAATGTTCTCAGGTTGTCGTATCAGCTGATAACTGCATAACGAACGCGGGGTTTGGTTAATCACTGTTTACTGATATACTAAGAGACGTCTGTACAGGCTGACGGCTTACTGGGACTCACGCCGCGCATGCGTATAGATGTACACTATTGATAGTCTAAGATGCTAGTATCCTGATGGAATCTCTCTGAACTAGACAATACGGTGTCTGATGCTGAAGTGCTTGTCACTAAAGAATCTGATGCTGTAGAACCAGACATGCAACCTTTGACCAGAAAAGAAAGAAAAAGAAAAACACTTAATAGAAATCAGACAACCAGGAACTCCTCATCTTCAGAGATAATTGTTCATAACGCCTTTGATGCTCTGGACATGGATGTAACACCATCGTCACAGAGCAGAAGTAGGAGTCCTTCCTCCTCACGTGTACGTGAGCGTTCGCAGATTGAGCCACCATGACTCAATCGTCCAACATACTTTGATGGAATTGTAGAGGATATAGAAATAATTTTCATGATTTACAGCTTTTAATTCAAGATTCTAAACCATCAGCTTTGTGTTCACAAGAAACCTATCTTAAGAACACAGATAAATGTGATGTCAGGAAATGTAACATGTTTAATCTGCCATTGTTGCTGCAAAATGGTGCCAAGATCTTGCAAATACTGTGGTTGGTTCTGGAGAGTGCGCGGACTTCTGCCAAGAGCATCCCAGACGTGTTCGATGGGATTGAGGTCGGGAGACCTTGACGGCCAGTCCATGACGTTGACTCCCACATTCTGAAGGAAATTCCTTGTCAAAATTGCTGTGTGGGGTCTGGCATTGTCGTGTTGGAAGATCAAACCGGGTCCATGAGCTGCCATAAAAGGCAGAAGTTCTGGTGCCAGTACCTGGTCGCGGTAAGCATCAGCGTTGAGGTTGCCACGGATGACAAAAAGCCTGGAACGTGCATTGCCACAGAAAGCACCCCACACCATGACACTTCCGCCTCGAAATCTGTCAACTTCCTGTACACAACACTGGGCGTAACGTTCATGACGGCGACCTACCATCAGCAAATCGAAGATTAAATCGGGATTCATCAATGAAGACGGCTTGATTCCAATTCCCCTGAGTTCATCGTACGTGTTGCTGTGCCCACAATTGACGTTGACGTCTGTGTAATTGAGTCAGAATCGGCCCGCAGTATGGCCGTCGTGCTTGAAGGTGAGCAGTTCTCAGACAGTTGTGAACAGTTTGCGCACTCAGTCTACCCCTAAACAGTTCATTTCTGGTTGATGTAGCCGTCAAAAATCAGTTACGGAGGTGCCGTAAGACAATCTGACGATCTTCTGCATGTGACGTCACACGTGGTCGACCTGGCCGAGGGCGATCAGTGGTGGTACCCGTTTGCTGTAGACGCGTCTGTAAATCATAAACAGTCCGTCGACTACAACCAATCGTCCTTGCGACTTCAGCTACGGACGTTCCCGTCTGCAACATGCCGATGGCACGTTCACGTTGCACATTAGAAAGGCGTGGCATGACAAATGGCCGTAAAGCCTTCTTGTGTTTTTTTTGTTTTTTTAATGACTGCTAACAAGTTTGGCTGAAAACATGTACGGTATTATGGCCACGTGACCAGTTGCACGTGAAAAAACACTTTTGCCACTATAGTGCTGTGCACATGATTTTGATCGATTCACCTGCACAAAAACGGGTGTTATCTGAAGACAATACGTGGCCATTTCTGTTTAAATACACAATATGGGCCCACAATGATAACTGGTCAAAATGTTAAAATTTTAGGATTGTGAAGTTTTTAATTTGGTTCAGTATATATTTGATGATATTTGGACATCAGGGATTTTTCCTCCTTCGTGGCATGATGCGATTGTAGTCCCTGTACCAAAACCTGGACGGGATCGTACAGATCCATAGAGGTTATCACTCGAGTGTGTTTGGAGATGGTAAATATCCTGCATTAAGAAAAACATTGTATTAAGCGAGCCTTGGTCTACAAGCACAGATATGGCTACTGATCCCGCTTGGCTAGGCCTAGCGCCCTTGCAAAATTGTTTCGAAATTTATATCTCCAAAGTTGCCAAAAACTTATAAAATTCCTTAGCTACATCACAGTTAGACACTGATTTCCAGTATATTAGACTGTTCTTTTGATAATGATAGCAATTATACCTGTAGATTATCCAGATTCCCGATGGTTAATTCTGACTCGATCGACGAATAACAAGGGCGACGCCATGTTTGTTTATGAACAGTGAAAGTAGTCCCTACTTGACCTTTGATATTTGCATCTCTATCCGCATATAACCCCAACGGATAACGTTTTTATCCGTTGGCTCTAACCTGCCGAGAAACCTACCAGGTATATGATAAATAGAGGTTATCACGCGAGTGTGTTTGGGGATGGTAAATATCCTGCATTTGGAATAAACATTGTATTTAGCGAGCCTTAATATTTATTACGTCACAGGGTAAGTGATGTGTCAGTCGGACAGTGACAGTAGTCAATATAGTTCCAACTGATATCTGTTTCTTATACAGTGGCGAAGCAACTTATACGCAAAACAACAGTTGTTTTTAATTGCCTTTCTCGGCAATCCATCGGTCTGTCCGCTAGATTAACTGCCCTTTGTCAAAGGGAAGCTACTCTAAACCTAGTCTATGAGACGTCACGGCCACGGTCAGACGTTGTTGACAGTCGGTCTGTCCTTTCATAACGTTAAGAAGTGTAGTCAGATGTACACACAGCGACAAATCGAAACAAGGTAACAGTTCAAACATATTTCGGCCGAATCCGACCATTTTGATTTGTGGAGAAGGTTTCAAGCCACAGAGGTCTAACAAGCACAGATATGGCTACTGATCCCGCTTGGCTAGGCCTCGTGCCCTCGCAAAATTGTTTGGAAATTTATACCTCGAAAGTTGCAAAAACTTATAAAATGCCTTAGCTACTACGTCACAGTAAGACACTGATTTCAGTATATTAGACTGTTCGTTTGATAATGATAGAAATTATCCCTGTAGTGTATCCAGATTCACGATGGTTAATTCTGACTCGATCGCCGAATAACGAGGGCGACGCCATGTTTGTTTATAAACAGTGAAAGTAGTCCTACTTGACCTTTGATATTTGCATCTCTATCCGCATATGACCCCAACGGATATCGTTTTTATCCGTTGGCTTTATCCTGCCGAGAAACCTACCCATTATATGATAAATATATATATATCATATGATAAATCTAATAACCGTCCTATATCTTTTACCAGTTGCATTTGCAAAACTATAGAGCGTATGGTGAACAATCGATTAGTTTGGTATTTGGAAACCAATCATCTCATCACAGATATACAATGTGGTTTCCGGGAAAATAGAAGTACCATTGATCATCTGGTACGTTTAGAATCGTTCATAAGAATTCCATTATAAACAAACAAAATGCTGTATCCATTTTTTTACGATTACGAAAAAGCTTATGATACAACTAGGAAGCATGGCATTTTAAGAGATCTTCATGATTTTGGATTGTGGGGTCGTTTCCCTTGGTTTATATCCAGTTTTTTAACCGACAGACAATTTCAAGTCCGTGTGGGTTCAACCTGTCTCACCATTACAATCAGGATCAGGGTGTCCCACAAGGCAGTATGGTGTCACATTATTCGGCATTAAAATTAACAGTCTCTCTAAGGCATTGAATGACTCAATTGATGGGTCACACTGTGTAGATGACTTCAACATATCTTGTCGTGGCAAAAACATGCACACAATAGTAAGGCAACTGCAGCTTTGCCTAAATAAAATCCAAAAGTGGTTGCTTGAGAATGGTTTTAGATTTTCAAAAGCAAAGACAAATTGTATCCATTTTTGTTGAAATTATAGACCGCATAAAGACCCAGAACTACTGTTAAACGGTGCCCCCATCAAGGTTGTTGAGGAGACCAAGTTCTTGGGTCTTATTTTTGATCGCCATTTGACATTTTAACCTCATATAAAATATCTTAAAACTAAATGCTTGAAGGTTCCGGATCTACTAAAGGTTGTTGCAAATACTAAGTGGCGTGGGGATCAGACAATCTTACTTCACCTGTATAGATCCCTTATTAGATCTAAGCTAGATTATGGTTCAATTGTATATGCTGGAGCTGCTCAAAGTAATTTAGGGAAATTAGATAGCATACATCATCAAGGACTGAGACTCTGTCTTGGATCATTTAGAACCTCTCCTGTACCTAGTTTGTATGTGGAGGCCGATGAGCCTTCGCTTGCACAACACCGCTTAAAATTATCCCTGCAGTATATAACTATCAGATTGGCGCACGTCGGGGCACTGGTTCATGGCTTCAAGCCAGGCATCTTGGACCTCGAGAAGGGGCAGCAATGCCAGACCTACAGCTCGTCGTATCCACTTGCGAACCTCCACATCTTCTTTGTATGCAACTGCAAGTCCTAGTTCTTGTGTTTTGCGCCATATTGCCTGACAGAAATGGAATAGACCGCCTTTGACATCATTCTGAGGAAATGCAGTCTCGGCAGCTTGAATGGCAGCAAGTTCGAAGTCTGTTTGGATGACAGATAGAGCTAGGGGTCGGCCGAGGGTCTGCTGAACCTTGGTCTTGAGGAGGTTGAAGAGTCTGGTGTATGTAGCTCTCTGGCGATCTGGAAGGAGTGTGTAGACCAGAGGGTACATTGTGGAACCTGACATCGCGTGAATAATGTATACTTGGTTTCACAGAAGAGGGCAGGTAGAGAATGTTCCATCTATGAAGATTTTATCTGCGGACTGCAGTGCTTCAAGAGCCTCGTCGGAGCAGTACGCCAGTATCTTGTCGTCCTCTCCGTCAGCAAACAACAGGAATCTTCTTCCATC